CCTTGCATTGTCTTTTGCCTTTTGACTTCATAGGAGTCTTGCCCCATTAACCCACTTGTAAAACTGGTAACATTTATTATGAATAAATATTTGGGTTGATGTAGTCTTCAGTGCTTTGCTTTACTTTCTTTTGAGCACACATTTCTATTGATATTGTTTATTTGAAAAAATTTCCTCCAGGGTGTTATGCATTGTTGCCCAAATTCTAGGCCCTGGATTCTAAAGAATGTCTTCATTGTTTAGGTTGCAGAAGACTTAAATTTTAATAAGGTGCTTTTCCAACAGTAAGATGGGCTCTTTTCCTCTTATAAACCTATCTTAATTTTGCTAGAGATGAGTTTTGGGATTTTATTCTGTACTTTCAGTAACTCTTTAACTGCACTTTAATTTTAGGCAAAACTGTGTTTTTAGATAGTTGAGTTTATAAAGATAAATGATTATTATAGTAGATGCCATTTCTTTTTTCTTTCTTTTTTTTTTTTTGCGATTCCAGGGCTTGAACTCAAGATGTCACACTTCGCAGCAGGTGCTGTACCATTGAGCCCCTTCACCAGCCCAGTAGATGTCATTTCTGAAGATATATGCTAGTTACTGATTACGTATAATCTTATTTCACTTTCCCCAAAAGCCTTGTGATTTCTCAGTAATTACATCGTAGCTTACAGGTGACAACACTGAAGATGTCAGTGTACAAAGCCACAATAATACCCCTGCCTCAAGGGGACAATAATCTTACTACCTCAAGAGCAGGGTCAGCTACAGAACATGCAGGTTCCAGCACAAAATGTAAATGAGGGTGGGAGGTAGGGGGTGTTCCAAAGTTCTGATGTCAAAGATGGCAGCAGCAGAGACTTAAACCAAGCCCAGGCCCAGGCCCTCCTCAGCCTGGGGGCCTGTGTGACTATTCAGGTTGCACACCCATGGGACTGGCTCTGCCTAAAAGGTAATTTTAACAATAAGAGGTATTTTTCTAGGTGCTTTGCAAACAATAACTGATTCCAGCTTCACATCCCTATGAGCCTATGTACTTTCATTTCACAGGTAAGAAAATAAAGGTACAGAGTACAGAGAGAATCAGTAACTCTCCCAGGTCATGGAATCATTAATAAGCCCAAGACTCTATGTACCATGACACTGAACGTATGACATGCTTCACATGTGGCCTGGCGTGCACACTGTAGGGAAGGGGCTGTGATGCTTATTAGTCCCCTAATGCTACGCCTGTGCCTTTAACAGGTACATTCCATTCCCTGGACACCTGCATAGCAAACATTTTGTTTTGAGAACATTCTAATATACTGTTATTTGAATTACTTGTGAGATTATCAAAATTTTTTCTTTAAAATTTAAACTTTTTCTTTAAATTTATAGCACATTTAGTCCCTCGACATGTAATAATGTCACCAGACTTTGATAAGTATTGTAGAAGAGGAAATTAGCATGTTAGAAGTGTGTTGAGCTGGGCACCGGTGGCTCACACCTATAAATCCTAGTACTCAAGAGGCAGAGATCAGGAGGATGGTGGCTTGAAGCCAGCCCAGGAAAATAGTTCATGAGAGCCTATCTCAGAAGACCCATCACAAAAAAGGGCTGATGGAGTGGTTCAAGTGGCAGAGTGCCTGCCCCAGTGGTGCTAAAAAAAGAGATGTGTTTAACCCACAGAGCATCTGGGTTATGATATACTGTCAAAAATAGGAGAGAATGGCAAACCTACAGTAGTCATTAAAACTGAAATAAATTTGAATATGACTTGTGGATAATTAAGTCATCTCAACTTTATGGTTGGAAATGTTCTTAAAATAATTTCTCATTATTTGGGAAATGAAAATAGAAGGGGCAAATATACTACAATTTGGCTTTGCTACCTATCCTTATTGGAGACAGATGAAAAATTAATGCTAGTAGCTATTTGGGAACCATCTAGAATTCTAACTCACAAGATTTGTTTCCAAAAAGGATTACTGTAAAATAGACAGTTATTTAAACTGACAACAGACCTCCCCTTTGCCACCATCTTCTCTATTTTGAATATTTCCTTCATATTAGTCTAGGAAAAACATTGGACTGGAATCTGTTTATAGTTAAAGTGAATAGAAATAAGTATAAAAAAAAGTTCAGAGACTCGGGTTTTCCTAAAGGGCTCATGACACTCATTAAAGCGCTTGTAATATCCCGATTTCTGGGAAATTTAACTGTCATCATTGGCAATGCTAAGTGATTTCAAAAGTCGTCGTTTCATTAAAAACAACAACGGGTACTTTGTTCAAAAATAGGCCAGCGCCCCCCTCACACACACACACACAGACACACACACACACAGGATTGCATCCACAGCTTCCTTCTGCCTCTCAGTTCACTGTTGCGTTTGATGTAGATGTCTGTTCAGTGCTGCTGAAAAGAACGGATGCTTTCAGAACTAAGTCTTGGGTACCAGTCCATGAAAAGATTTCCAGTGGAATGTCTTTGTAGTAAAATATGGAGCAACACTTCTTGGGTTAAGTGGACCTCTGTTCACCATTCAAGGTAAATAGCCCAAAGGGGAGGGGGAAATCCCGTAAAGCAAGCCAAGGGCGCCCTCTGCTGGCAGAAACTGGTTCTCTCAATTCCTTTCACTACCTTGGGTGGAATTTCTTTAAAAATATTTTTCAAGACATTTCTTTTTTTAAAGGAACGGGGTAGAAAAATCTGAGTCTCTCTCTCTCTCTCTCTCTCTCTCTCTCTCTCTCTCTCTCTCTCACACACACACACACACACACACACACACACAAGTGTGCGTCCTTCTGCATGCACTGACAGAATCTGCTCTGGAGGCCCATTGCCTGTGAGGCTTCAAGTGTGTGCTTTGCAACTAAGCTGCTTACAAAACTCTAAGCGAGCCTATTACAACTTTTAAAGTAAAATGTCACATTAAATACTTGAAATGAAAAGCAACTGGTACTAAAATTATGAAATCCTCATTCCTATTCACTTGGAAATGAAATGTGAACACAGACAGTCACAAATATTCACCTGCGCAAAAATGACAAAAGTCTGCTAGTGTGAATGACAGCCCTATCCAAAATTTAATTGTTTTTCACATATACTAGATATGCTATATAGCTCAACCATCAACCATCATACTACGGATGCAAATTTTAATTGATTTTCCTTTTTTTTTTTTCCCCAGTACTGGGTTTGAACTCAGGGCCTACACCTGAGCCACTCCACCAGTCCTTTTTTGTGTTGGGTGTTTTTGAGGTACGGTCTCACAAACCATTTGCCAGGGCTGGTTTTGAACCGTGATCCCCCTGATCTCTGCTTCCTGAGTAGCTAGGATTATAAGCATGAGCCACTGGTGCCCAGCTTGATCTCCCTTCTTGATTCTGGGGGGGAGAGGTGACTTGCCCCAGCCTTCCATCTGCCAGTGTGTAGAGCCAGGATTTATGGCAGGCTACTGGCATTCCACATCTACTTCTACTCACTGCCTCTATGGTGGGGACAAGTTACACTCTTGTCATCAACCATAAATAGTATAACAACAGTAATGATGATGGCCCTATAGGGTTATTGTGAGGATTAGGTGAGATTATCCACCTAAAGCACATGTTTGAATAATACGGTTTAGAAACAGCTGAGGAATGTGGGTTTTATATTTGGGTGAGTATACCAACTGGCTCAAAGATGATATATGCAAAAGTGGCTTTCCTATGTGTCCCTAAATAGCAGGAAGATCTTGGCTATGTCTTAGAATCATCTAGAGAGCTTTTGAAACATAGTAATTTCCTGGGTTTCACACGACCTAGACCTACTAAATCAGAACCTCTACCTGCCTGTATTCACTGTGGAGCCTGGTCCCGCCTCTTCAGCTGGCAGTACGCTAGAAATGAGGGTTCTGCATTTTATAAACAGATCCCCACAGACCTGAAAGCTGTCTGAGAGAGTCAAGGAGTGCAGACCACAGCTGCACCCGGTCTGTAGGGGTTCCTGGATCTGCTCCTAGTTCTCTGGCAGACATGACCTTTGGAGTGGCTGTGCAGGAGCACAACAAATACAACAAATTTGTATTTGTTAGTTACAAATTATAGGTGATCTCTGCTGTGGGCTGAACTGCACTGTGCCCAACAGACCAGACTAACAGTCAAAATGGAGTCACCCATACCAAAGTTCCATGTCACTAAACTAAAACTTCAGTTGCTATCTGTCCCTCTGCCCCAGCTACCCCCGGGGGGGGGCAAACAAATAGATATCACAGCCCAGCTTCCTAACAGGACAGTTTCATTCGGTATGATAATGTGACGTTCCCCCTGCTTTAATTCTTTCAAAAATAACCAGATGCTAACCAACCAGTTATTTCTCTGTTGTTCTGCGTCCCTGTTCCCGCCTTAAAAGCCAAGTAATTTTGAAACAACCAATCCGCTTTTTGTTCTTTGTTTCTAGCACTCAGCCTTTCTCTGTCTCTTAAGATCTTCCATTTGGCTCACAGGAATACTCATTTTAAGATCTTTAATTTTTTTGTAATTTTGTATTTTGGCATCCCTAACATTTCCATGGAGCATTACACGTGGCGACTCTTCCACCTTGTTATTTCGCTTCAACTTAATTAAAAGCAGCTTGGAAGTTAGCCATCGTTATCCCCATCCGGCCGCCTGATGCGGCGCAGGATGCCCCATCCGCAAGCAGGGAGACAGCTTTCCCAGGCTGGCCTTGGATTGGGATTGCAAGTCATCAGAGCTTTTTTAGACGTTTAAAAATACGGCAAATACAATAATTAATTCACAAGCGAAATCAGCTAACTTCGTACAGTAGCCGAGGTTGAGGAGTTGTAAAAACGGTTGCTTGGCAACTCACAGCTTCACCAACTTTTCGCCAATTGGCAAACTGCTGGCGTAAGGATTTCCTCTCAACTTCAATAGCGCTTCTGCGCATGTGTAGTCGCCTTGCGGAAGGAGGAGCCTCTTTCCCCTACGCCTTCCGGGCGACACCGGAAGTGACTTCGAGCGCGTGCGCTATTTTTCCACTGTAATTGGGGGCAGTTTCTACCTCTGCCTGGAGGAAATCCCGGGTTCTTCGGATTCCTGCCCGCGCCCCTCGCCCTCTTCCCCTCTCCGGAGCAGATTTGCGAATTCCACAACCTCTCCCGCTTCCCGCCGCAGTGCATCCCTCAGGTAGGTCTCCTGCTGCGTCCGCTCAGTGGCGCCGGCGGAGATGCTTGGCTTCCGGACCCTGGGCGCGAGCCGGCCTGCTGACCGAGTTCCGTTAGGGGCCCTTGGAAACGCGGTCCGAGCTGGAGGAGGCCTCGGGGGCGACCTTGGATCTAACCTCGTTTTTCCTGTGGGGAAACTGAGGCTGGGAAGGGTCACACAGTTAATGGCTGCGTTTAACGCCTGTGTCCTCCCCGCTCCCGTTTCTGACTTTTGTCCCGACGCGTCACCTCCTTAGAGGAGCCTTCTCTGAGCTGTGCTCTGCAGAAGGGCGGCCTGTTTTCTTCTCCGCCAAGTACTGGCCTTTACGAGGGTGCGTGAGCGTGTGCGTGCGTGCCAGCCGCCAGGGCCGTGGCTGCGCGGCGAGACCCCGAAGGATCCGGGCGGGCCCTGACCGCTCCCCCTCCTGCAGGCGGGGGAGAGGGTGCTTGTAAAGGAGACGTCGCAGATGGTCACCCGTGCTGCGAAGACCAGGAGGGCACGTGATGGAAGGTCAGCTGTGTCAAGTTAGGGAAGCCGCTGGGTGGGTGGCTTCTCCACGTATAACGTAGACAGCATTAAGTTCATCCAGCCGTGGCTATGGAGGTCTCTCTCGAACAACGTCCTGAGGCTGCTTTTCAGCCCACGTCTGAATATTGGAAAGGAAGCCGCTGGGGAGTTGGGGGAGGGAGCTGGCCAGTCCTCTTGGGCTGTGGGAGCAGCAGATAGGACCATGCTGGGCAGGGTGCAGCTGTGGCTGGAGAGAGCAGGGGAGGAGATGCGCAGGTTCCCCAGTTACCTGGGGCTTCCCAGTGCTCAGCACAGGCGGTGTCCGCACCAGCTAATGGGTACTTGTGTGACTGTTCCCTGGACTCATCCTTCATGGTAGCCTCCTAACCAGGAGAAGGAATGGAGCAGAAATGATGTTTATTAAAAACCTGTGAAGATCGTCATTATGGTGCGTGTTGTAATCCTAGCTATGAGGGAGGTGTAAGTATGAGGATCCTAGTCGAAGGCCTGCCCTGAGCAAAAACGCAGTACCTTACTGGAAAAATTAATAAAGCAAAAGGGGGCTTAGGGGAGTGGCTCAAGTGATAAGACACCTGCCTAGCAAGTGCAAGGCCCTGAGTTCAAACCCCAGTATTTCTAAAAAGTAGAACCCACTGTGTTTCAGGCACTGTGGGCAGCCTTCATTTGGCTCTCATAACTCTGAAGTAGGTATTAGAGGAGAAAGCCAAGGCTAAATAACTTACCCAAGGCTTGTGGCTGGTGCCTATGTGGTGACTGAAGAACCTTGTCGTCCTTGTTTGGTTGCTGAGGCAGTTAACCAGTGCGCTTAAGGCCTCTGTACATTTGAGGGCAGAGAGGAGGTTGGCGAGCACTGTGACCTTACAAAATCCCTTTCTGAGATGTTAATGCCTGCGGCTCTGACCTATTACGTCTGACCTTATTTTTCTTGAATGTTATCCTCCTAAGCAAGTAACATCATTCTGTTGCTTGGTTCCTTTGAAAAGGTACTTGACATGGTAGACTTCAGATGTGAAAATTTGCTAGCCACTAACAGTATTAAAAATGTGACATTAATATATGTGAATCATTAGGGAGTTAAAATGTATTGTCTTTCTCCTTGAAAGGAAAAGTTGTCTACATGCTAGACATCGCACTTCTCCATAATCTGATTTGATCCTCAGAGCAGTTGCAGAGAATGTGCAACAGTCTGTTTGCAGAGCAGGTAAATGGGGATTCCAGGAGAGGTCAGTGGCAGAGTCCCATTCAAAGCCTGGTTTTCCATGCTGGACATGCTGCCCAGGAAAGAACTCCGGGTGGGGAGTCTTGCTGGGCAAATGCCCATAACAGAACGCCAGACCTTTCAGTGCATAAGTGGACCAAAGTGGATTACTGTTTTCAAAGTCCTCCTAAAAAGAAATTATTTCCTGCTAGGGCTGGGTGCTTTTCTAGGTAACTTCATGAGAGGTACAGCACTAAGAAGATTGTGAACTCCCACTAGGTGGAAACCTGAAGAAATGAGGTCCTTCTGTCTCTTCACTATTGTATTCTGACTCTTCCTGGTGTGCAGCTCCATGTCTAACTATAAGTAATGAGGACATTTATTTTCTAGCTGGTAATCAAAGAATAGTCTGCTGTATCATGTAGAATGAGGGAGACTGGATGCAGAGTATGCGTGATTCTCTGTACAACTTCCTGTAAATTAAGAGTTCGTTTTTAAATAGCATTCTGCTTGTTGCATGTGTAGATCTCTTCTGAAGAGAAGCCTGACATCAAGCTGTTTGGAGTATCTTCCTTCTAAGGCTTAAGAAAGAAGCTGTCCTTAATAATTTCCTTTGTTGCAGAGCCAAAATGAGTCTGTTTGGAGCAACCTCAGGTTTTGGCACTGGTGGGACCAGCATGTTTGGCAGCACAACCACAGATAATCACAACCCCATGAAGGTACTGCATAAAGCTCTGCAGAGTTTGTAGGGTGAGTTTAGGCCAGGGCTCCCTACAGCAGCTACATGACATGCAAGCCTCCCTTGGGATGAAAACTCTGAGACTTTGGCCCAACTTTCTCAAGCTTTGGAGCACAGAGATGATCTCTCTGATGGAGTAGTGTCTGGTTCCTCCTGACCTGTTGGGTCTCTAGAATCACCCAAGGTGCCTATGAAAACCCCGGCTTCCCGAGGGCTGCTAAGGACTCTGGGATCAGGATTTCTCCCGTGGGAGAAGGGAAGGACAAGACATAACTGTTCAAGCTCTTGGGGCAAGAGTGACTAGAGGGCACCATGGGGGAAAACCTGACTTTGGGCCTTTAATTTCTTCTAGTCCCAGCAGGGCTTTTTCAGCTTTCCTGGGCTTGCTTATTACTTCTCTGCTTGATCAAAGTAAGGAAAGGTCAAATCCAGTTAGTTCTTGAGACAAGGAAACATCATTGGGAGATGGTTCCTGAGAAAGATTTTGACACCGTGGTAATATATACATTTTAATAATGACTTTCCCTTCCCAGGATATTGAAGTCACATCTTCTCCTGATGATAGTATTGGCTGTCTGTCTTTTAGCCCTCCAACTTTGCCGGGGAACTTTCTTATTGCAGGATCATGGGCTAATGATGTAAGTGCTCTTTCAATGCATCTTCTGTAAATCATGTCTCTGTGTGGGTAGGGTTAACTTGCCTGTTAGCTCCATTCTGGACCATGAGGATTAGTCAGAGTTAAGGCTTATACAGGCCCTTTTTCAGGAAGCCAGGTTAGAGGCTGGCAGAGTGGCTCTAGTGGTAGAGTGCTTGCCTAGCAAATATGAAGCCCTGAGCTCAAATCCCAGTACTGTCTGTTCCCACAGCCCCCCGCCCCCGCCCCCCCCCCCCAGCAAAAGGAAGCCAGGTTAGCGTCTGTGAGCCCTTCTGAGCAAAGACATCAGTCATGTGCATTGCTCAAAAATTCCTACACTAGTCCAGTATCTTGAAGCTCATTCTCAAACCAAGTGTACTATTCATGAGAATGAGTGTTACCCCTGTTGGTGTACACAAATTTTATTCTTGGTATTTGAAAGATGTTCTTCAAGCATGTGTTCAGCTTTTTCAACTTTTGATAATAGCACAAATCCTGCATTACAGTTACCCATTATGTTCAGAAAGATATACACATACAAAAAAAAGATTAACAAACTGATAGAGTAATGAGCATGGGGTGTGAACAGACACCTCACAGACAGAGCGTGGACCATTCAGTCACATTTATAGTCAGAAATTTATGTCATGGATTCTCTATCAAGTTAACAAAAACTAAAAGTATAGAAGTATACAAGTACCAACAAGGACAAGCTTAAGCCTAGCATGTACTGTGTGCTTGTTACATCTCCATAACCTAATGCTGAGACCCACAGCAGTAGTGTCACAGATCCCAGTGGGGAAACCAGGAGGCAGATCTGCAGTCAGGCGTGGGAGCCACACTCTGAGCCACTACCTGCTACTGCCTTGCCTTAAAAAATGACCTTAAGAGTGTCTGGAGAAGATTTCACACTGGCCTGTAGCACGGACGACAGGGTAGAGGAGAGGGTGTGGGGAGAGCAGTAGAGAGAAAGTGAGTCAGGACTGAGAAGTTTGCTTTTTGTGTGTGGGTTCTGAAAGATCTCGTTTGATTTGCTGCCAAAAAGTGCTAGAAGAACATTTGAGGATGAACAGGGTGGCAGTGCAGCGAGAGGCTGCATTTGTGTGAAGATCCAGGACAACTCGAGCATAGTGACAGAAGAGTTGAAAGCACATGGATGACTGTGGGTCTGTGGGAGAGCCAGGAGAATTGTTACTTTCTTGTCATGGTCACAAAATCTCTTAAGTAAAATGCATTACGTTTATGAATGGGGAAATGACGTAGAAATGAAGGTATTCAAAGTAGAAAGGTTAATTTCTACTTCGATCCTAATTCTCTGAAGTTAATGTGCAAGTTATGCTCTATTCTACCTTAAAAGACAGATTGCTCTTTTAAGAGCTCCTCCTGTGAGGAGCAAAGAGCAACCCTTCTGCAGTTTTAGGTGTAAGTGATAGAGTTTCTGTATTAACGGCTTGGGACTAGGAAACTAGCAGCCTGTGTGTACATTTCAGTCGCTTTGTTCTTAAAATTAGATAATTAGGTTGATAAAAGAAGTCTATGTGTAGTTAGATTGTACCCGTTAGTTACTAGGTGGTAAGTGCTTATCGTATTGTTTGAATTTGTGTTCTTGTTTCAGGTTCGCTGCTGGGAAGTTCAAGACAGTGGGCAAACCATCCCAAAAGCCCAGCAGATGCACACTGGGCCTGTGCTCGATGTCTGCTGGAGTGACGTATGTTTCAGTCTCTTTTTTTTTTTTTGCAGTCTGGGATTTGAACTCAAAACGTCACGCTTGCTAGGCAGGCTTCCTCCTACCAGTTCAGTCACATCTCCAGCCCTTTCCTGCTTTAGTTATTTTTTAGATAGGTTCTCACATTTTTCCCAGGGTCAGCCTTGGACTGCAGTTCTTTACTTCTGCTTCCCACATAGCAGTGCTCCACAACACCTGGCTTGTTTTGAAATTTGGGGGTCTCACCAATTTTTTGCCCTGGCTGACTTTAACTTGATCCTTCTGATCTCCACCTCCTGAGAAGCTGGCATTACAGGTATGCATCACTATACCTGGCTTGTTTCTGTCCATTTCTAATGTTCAGGTCTACTGGAAGTACTGTGTGATTCAGAATATTTAATAATTTAAACATAAACACGGGTTAATTATCCTTTATCTGAAATACCTGGGACCAGAAGTATCTCAGATTTCAGAATTTTTTGAACGTAATGTTTGTAAGGAGTGCTGGTTGATCATTCCTGACTGGTTAAATGGTGCATGGCACTCAGAAATTTGAGTGCATTTGCTTTTTAGATTAAGAATGCTTATGCTGCAGCATGTGTATGTGTACACATACACATCTACAGAAAATCTACAGGTTTTCTGACTGTAGATTTAGTAATTTATTGATGCTCTTAATGCTAGCTTTAGTTAGCTGATTTCTCTGGGTTTTTTGGTTTTGGTTTTGCAGTACTGGGGCTTGAACTCAGGGTCTACACCTTGAGCCATTCCACCAGCACTTTTTTGTGAAAGATTTTTTTTTTTTTTTTTTTGAGATAGGGTCTCATGAACTAGTATGCTGAGCTATCCTTCTGATCTCTGCTTCCTGAATAGCTAGGATTGTAGGTGTGAGCCAGTGGAACCTTTTAAGTAGCTTTTTTTCACTCAGTGTAATGCATTGGAGATCCATCCAGATGGCATATGAACAGTGGTTTATCCTTTTCGTAGCTGAGCAGTAGACCGTGATGTGAGGCGTGACCATTTGTTCACCTATCTATTAATGGAATTGTAGAGTCCAAGGATCTATAGCATTGTTCCTCTGACTTCATTAGTAAAGTGAAGAGAAAGGTTTCCTCTCTTCTTTTAGATGGAGAGAAAGTTTAGTAGGGGAGGACAGTGGAAGAGCTCAGCTCTGAGTCCAGAAGTTAAACATTGTGGGCCCTGAGTTCACAAACGGTGGCCATGAGCCAAATCTGGCCCATTGCCTGTTTTATAAATAAAGTTTTATCGAATGCAGTCACACTCATTCATTCATCACATGATGTGTGTGGCTGCTTTTAAGCTCTAGTGACAGGGTAGATAGACCTACTGTGTGGGTTCTACATGTGAATTTTTAAAAACCAGTGCACAGTGAGTACTCATTTATTGAGCTAGTTTACAGCAGAGGTGGAACCAGCGATTGTTGTAAACCAGTGTAGTTTTACTGCACACACCTGAGAGTGCTATTAAATAATGGAGCTGAACAGAAGTGACAGTGATCTTAGATGTACATGTATGTACAGAAAATGAGGCACACGTGAATGTGGGCAAGTGTTTACAGTTGGTGAATAGATGAGATGTTTATGAGTGTTTACACTGTATTGCAACTTTCTGGAGACTCCTAGTTTATCAAAATAAGAAAATCTAAAAATGGCCCGACTTGGCTTTTAGAGGAAAGTGGGGGTCTGGGAGGAGAGTGAGGCTTAGTTCTCATATGTTATCTCTTAATAAATCAGTAAAGTGTACAGCTGGAAGTGTTTTGTTTATGGCACTGTAGCTTGCAATACATTGGCTCCCAAATAATTAGAAAAATTAAAATTGCAAAACAAGTATGTGTAACCTTATGTCTAAGTGTACATACAGAGATTTAATTTTTCTTAGAATGACAAATTTTCTTTTTATTTTAGGATGGGAGCAAAGTGTTTACAGCATCCTGTGATAAAGCTGCCAAAATGTGGGACCTTAATAGTAATCAGGCCATCCAGATCGCACAGGTAATGGGTGCCCTCTGCAAGAAGCTGGCAAGGCTGGTGCCTAGGCTTGTGAGGATTCCTTGATTATGATAATTGTCTGTTACAGGCAAAGTGCAGCTTCCCCGTCCCAAGTCAGTGAACCAGAAACGTCTTCAGCAGAAAAGTGGCACAGTTTATAGTCATTTTTGTTTCCTGGTATTGCCCACAGCACTTTGCCATGAGTCTTTCATGTGTAGGTGGCATCACAAGGAAGAAGTGACATTAAAGTTTATAAGAGGCAAATGTTGTAAATGGTCCTTGGCATTCACATGTTTGACACCCAGCACCCACGTGTCACTTGCCTTTTTCAGCTGCATGTGGTCACTTGTCATTCAGTGCCATGTGCCAGCACTGTCATGAGGCTAGAAACACAGCAGTGAGTCAGAGATACCTCCACATCCCTGTGGAGGTTTCAGAGTCTCAGACAACAGGAAAATGCTCATGTGAGGAACAATGAGAAGGAGCAAAAGGAGAGCCCGCAACTGAGGCCCAACCTGGTAAAGGGGACAGGAAGAAGTTCCTGACATGGACACAGTTTCAGCACAGTGTTATATATGCTGAGACCATGGTACCACATACCAGAAGCATCTCCCTGACCTCTTGTTTCATGTCACCATAGTAAATGAAACTGGAAGAGTTCTCCAGTAGTTATTTGTGAACATCTCTCAGGGAGAATCTTATTGTCAAGAATGACAGTAGTAGGAGTAAAATTTTTGGTGAGTATTTTTGGCCATAGGGAAGCACTGAGATATCCTTTGATTTTTGCTTGGTATGTTTGCAGTATTTAAATTAGTTCCTCTTCTTTGAATTTCCAGAACTAAATGCTATTTAGCAAATGTTGCATTGTTCTGTTTGGTTTTTGTCTTGTTGAAAGCACGATGCTCCTGTGAAAACCATACATTGGATCAAAGCCCCAAACTACAGCTGTGTGATGACCGGGAGCTGGGATAAGACTTTAAAGGTATAACAAGCAGCTGTGGGGTTGTGAGGCCTGCACAGGCTGGGTGTTCATCCTCAGTCCTTGGTGGACTCCAGCTCCAAACAGTAACTTACTGCTCCTCCTTTTTGCTTTTAGTTTTGGGACACCCGATCATCAAATCCTATGATGGTCTTGCAACTCCCTGAAAGGTGTTACTGTGCTGATGTGGTAAGGAACTGAATTTCCTATTAAAACATAATTATTAAAACATAATTAAACATCCCTCACCTATGGCATCCTTCCCTCAGTTTTATTGACAGATACGGGGATACAGTTCAGGCTCAAACTGCATTTGTTCCACAATTAGTAAATATGGGAGTTTTAGGCACTTGCTTAGACATATGCACAGCTAACTACATGTCATCCCCAGTGTGACGTTCATCATTGTGGTGGTAGAAAAACTTATAGTAAATTTGGGTTGTGGTTCTGGTTTTTGGGGATGTCTGGAAGTGGGTTGGAAACAAACTTTCTCCAGCCACGCAGTCAGAGGCTTAGGATTGTTATCAACTGCCCCAGCAATTCTACTTTTAAGAGTTTATCACGAGAAAAATGATGGGTGCAAATAGTCTTTGCTTGATTGAATATAGTGAACATGGGGACTGATCAGTGGGCCAGCAAGGGGCATGGCTAAACAAGCCCTGTGATCCTGTGGGGCGATCATTTGAGGCAGTGGTAGACAGCCACTGTAGTATTCTTGAAAAAATATGTAATGGGGCTTATCCTCACAAAACATGGTTCACATAAAGGGTGCAAGTTACACAGAAATGTACACACAATGCTCAGGAAAAAAGGCTGGAATAAAATCTACCATAATGTCAGCCATTATCGTTTGAGGGACAGTGTAGATGACTTTCAGCTCATCTCAGTTCCTGGTGGGTTTAAAAAAAAAGCCTCAAATATGTATGGGTGATCTACTTACAAATACAATTTTTTAGGTTTTTTTATGAAACACGTTGATATTATTGATATTCAAACTTTTTAAAAATTTGGAATTTTGTGATCAGCAAAATTGATGGAATACTTTGGTATCAAAAGCCCACTCCTTTCATGTTGAGTGACTGCTTTCCTCTGTTCCCTAGATATATCCAATGGCCGTGGTAGCCACTGCGGAGAGGGGCCTGATTGTGTATCAGTTAGAGAATCAGCCTTCTGAGTTCAGGAGAATTGAGTCTCCGCTGAAGCACCAGGTGAGGTGGAGCAGGGTGGTACTCCTGTGGGGAGGACAGTCATACCTGCTTAGAAGCCTGACCGTATGCTTACTGGGATGAATTTAAGGAGACAAGCACAAGTGTTTAGTGAGTAGCGAAACCATCCGTGGATGAGCTCAACTTACCTGTCTTGAGTACTACTGGATAAAACTGCACATCTGGGTAGATTGGTTCCGTTGTAAATTCTACACATCCACCTTCAGCTTGGTCTTCATTGTGCATACATGATCACTAGGTTTTCCTCTTTAGCTTCACTCTCCCGGCCATAGGACTGCTGGGCCCTCCTCAGGCTCCAAGGCTTCTCCCTCCTATAGCCTTGTCTCAGCAGATCACATCAGTTCCTGCTCAGAGAACAAAGAAGTCAACAGTTGGGACCTGCCTTGTCTTCCTCCTGCTGAATCCGGAAGCCTGCCAGTGCCTCATTTTCCCCTGCCTTCTCCTTGTAGGTAGAAACCAGATCTTCTGGAGGCCAGTTTTTTGGTGGGACCTTTTGTCCTGCATTTGTCACAGGAACCTGACTCAGGTCCATCGCCCCTCTCCTGTAGGATGCTACTCTTACTACTTTATAGAACCCTGCCCAAGTCTGGTTTGTCCTAAAAAACACCTGGCCCTCCATTCTCCTCTAGTTCCACCTGCATTCCTTTTTCCTGTGAGGTCAGGTGTCTAGCATGACTACTCTTTGTTTCCTTACCTCCCACCATCTCACCTCTCCATTGAGCCCTCAGCCCCAGTGGACACTGATGAAATCACCGTACCTAGAACAGAACCCCAGTCCTCAGTGTTCCTGCATGTCTTTAAACTGCTGGCTATCGGCATCTGTAATGCCAGCCTGTTCTGTCTGTGGCCTCTGCTTCATCTGCCTTGCTGGCTCTTTGCTGAGTGTCCAGCTTCCTCGCTCATCTGCCATGGCCCTCCTCCTTCTAACCCGAGCACAACCTCATCTCCCATGTGTTGCTGCCACTCAGCCTCACCTGTGTGCTGTACACTCAGATTCCCCACAGACTCCACTGTGTGCTTCCAGCAGTAGCACCACACAATTCTTTCGTGTTTCTCCCTGAGTTCCCAGCCCAGCAATGCCCTGTGCCCAACTAGGAACCCTTTCTGCAGCTCTTTCAACCTCCATGCTGTAGGTGTTGCACGTATGTTTTCTATGTGCAGAGTTTTATAAATGTTCCTCGAGTGAATAGTTGATCTGCCCTACCCACCCTGTCGTCCTGATGCTGCACATCTCATTAAATGGGGCTGCCATATGCCTGGTTGGCTAAGCTGGAAATCTTCAAGCCATCCTTGACTCACCTCTCCTTCCTTTTCTTCCCTCCTGTCTCATTAATCACCAGGCTCCCTCCCTCCCACTGAAAGTGTTTGGAAATCTGTTCCCCTCTCTCCTGTCCCTGCCATATTCAGCCAGGTCTTATGAACACTTAGATAAAACATCATGGCCTTGATCTTGGCAATGATTTATTGGCTGCAACACTGAAAGCACAGGTCATAAAAGCAAAAACAAACTAAAACGCTCCTGCACAGCAGAGGAAGCAAGTCAAGAGTCAAAGGGCAGCCTGTGGATTGGAAGAGAATTTTGGGAAATCACCTATATGGTAAAGGGTTGTGTTGCCAAGTGTATAAGGAGCTCCTTCAACTCAGTAGCAAAAAGACTAACGAACCAATTAAAAAATGGTCCGAAGATAGGCCTCACCAGCAGCTGTGTGAAAACGTATTCGGTGTTACTGCTCATCAGGGAAAAGCCAGAACCGCCGTGAGAGATCGCCTCACACGTGTCAGGACCCCTGCTGTCACAAGGGTAGAAGACAGCTAGTACTGGGGAGGATGTGGAGAAGTTGGAACCCTCATGCGTTGTCAGTGGTATGTAGAATGGTGGAGCTGTTGTGGAAATCAGCACAAGGCTCCTAAAATATTAAAACTGGAACGCCCATAGGAACTAGCAGTCCTGAGTGTTTATCTAAAAGAATTGAAACTGGAATTTTGAAGACATCTGTATTCACGATAGCCGAATGAATGGATAAAGGAAATGTGTACACATACAATTGCATACGATTCACCCTTTAAAAAGGAGGAAATTCTGCCACTTGACAACATGGATGAACGTACAGGACATTATACCTAGTGAAATAAGTCTCAGGAGTGGACAAATAGGATTCCACTTACATGGTGGAGTCCACTGATGGAAAGACTAGACTGTTGGCGTTGTGTAGGGCAGCAACTGTTTAGAAAGTGCTGCCCTAGATCCTGTTGCTTTTACCACTTTCCTGTGAAACAGCCTGCCTGGCACTGCCTCCTAGCTCAGGAAGCAGGGACACACAGACACATGGCCTGCCTGAAGGCGTCCGCCTGGCTAGTGCTGGGTAGAGGGATAGTTGCAGGTGTGCACAGGTCAGTCAGAACTGTGTGGCTGTTGAATAGTTAGAAAGTAGTGCTTACTGGGGGTTGCAGATAGCTCCATCATACTTGAGTAATGTTTCTGGTTCTTTTTAAACCTGAAAACTGGGTAACAATTTTTTATGTTCACATTAAATGTTAACGTTACATTGTGATAATACACCTTTTCTTTTTTAAAACCATAGCATCGATGTGTGGCTATTTTTAAAGATAAACAAAACAAGCCAACCGGTTTTGCCCTGGGGAGTATCGAGGGGAGAGTTGCTATTCACTACATCAACCCTCCAAATCCGTAAGTGGGACTCAACTTACTGGAATTATCTCTTGAGACATATTTTAAAAAAGGAAAACTGAAGTGAGCTTTTGTTTTTCAGCGCCAAAGATAACTTCACCTTCAAATGTCATCGATCCAATGGAACCAATACTTCTGCTCCTCAGGACATCTACGCAGTATGTTTAGAGAAACTTTTACCTTTCACCTTGAAAACACCTCTAGGATAGACTTGGAGCTGTCTCTCAGTGATTACAAGATCAGAAAGGAGTGGTCCGGGAGGAGCCTATGTGTTCCTGCCTGGGGGTGAATGGCTTATGTGGGCCAGTTTTCTATTTTTACAAATATTTTGACTGTCTTTATTTGTGATTTGTTCTTGAATGCTGACAAGACTTTTGGGAGGAGTGTCTTCTACCTTCTTAATGAGTGCTGGTAGACAGTTTCCACACCTAGAGAAGACTGAGAAATTGCTGTTGGTTAAAAAAGAGCCATGCTCCTTGTCATTTCTGGCTGTGTACACACGTGAATTCCTGCTCCCTGGCTTCTTGGAGGCAGGGTTTAGTTCTGGCTGACGGTCATAGCCAAGAGTTTTGTTCCCTAACTCCCTAACTTCTCCAGGCAGGAGAAGCCTGCCTCTCCACCATCTCTTCTCTGTTTCTCACTGTGCACATCAACCCCTGCAGGTCAACGGGATTGCCTTCCATCCTGTTCATGGCACCCTTGCAACTGTGGGGTCTGATGGTCGCTTCAGCTTCTGGGACAAGGACGCCAGAACAAAACTGAAGACCTCAGAGCAGTTAGACCAGCCCATATCAGCTTGCTGCTTCAATCACAACGGGAACATATTTGCATATGCCTCCAGCTACGACTGGTCCAAGGTGAGGGTACGAATGCCTAGGCTGGAATTGTGACTTCTCCAGATGTACTGTGTGTTCTTGGGCTGGTCACCACTGTTTGCTGCACCAAGCCCCCTGTGGGCAGTAGGTTATCTGCCAGGCAGCAGCTTGCTACTTGCATTGGAGACTGCCTCTCTCAAATTCATTGCTTTCCTCTGTCTCCTGCCACCCGCCCTCTGCCCTTTGCTACACAGTAGCTTCTGAGCCCTTTCCCAGCCTTGCCAACCTCACTCTTTCCCACCCATCTCCGCTTTCACTGTCCCTCCTCTGCCCACCCCACACAAGATTCCTCACTGGCTTCCAGTTTCCCATGGAGAAAGTGCTCGGCACCTTTCCTGTTCTTCCTCCCACCCTCAGTACCCTCCTGAGTTCACTGCCAAGGACCTGCTGCCTCCTTCGACTGTGCTCAGAGTCTCATTGGCCACATTCTCCTGTCCTGTTGGACTCCACAGTCGCTCCCCTCTTGTTTTATGAGCTATCTCTGGCCTTCATGCCATGCTCTCTCTTTCCTGGTTTGTTCCTCCTTCGCTGGCTGTTTTTGGCCCCCTCTTGGTGCTGGCCTTCCCTTGCCCTCAGCCTTATGGGCCTCCTCAGGATGCTTTGTGGGCTCCAGCCCTGGCCACATAGCCACTGGCTGCTTGGTTTCTGGGTTGGTCTTGGGCCCTCTTCCCTACTTCTCTTCAGTGTTCCCAACCTCAGCTGGGTGCTATACCTGGTGTTCCTGAGGACCTGAGCTCGGTAGTATCCACCAGGGCCCCCATACCTGTTCCAGGCTCCTGCTTCTTTAGCTCCTTCAGTCTCCCCTTTCTCAGACGGGCCAAGTTCTGTCCACTTTCACTATGATGCTCGTGCCCGGTCACATGTGTATTGGACCTGCTCTAGCCATGGCTATATTCCCTCTCTGGGGGGGCTGCTTATTTTCTTAAGAAATTTCATCAGGGTGTGATTGAAGTGCAATAATCGTACATGATTAAAGGGCTCGATTTGACCAGCTTTAGTGTCTGGGAATACTCATGAGGTCATCACCACCAAGATAAGGAATGTTTCATCTCCCCAAGGGTTTCTCAGTGTTCTACTGAATCCTGGCACATGTACATGTGAAACTAGTTGGTATATTCTAGAATATTGCATAGAGTCACACACCATGTTCTCTTTTTTTTCCCTCCTGGCTTCCCAGGAAAATGGGAACCCAGCTTAGTGATTGTGAAATTCACTGTGCTGGCGCATGTGTCACTCATCTCTCCCTTTTTTGTGCCAAGTCATATTCCATTAGTTTCTCATTCACCTGTGGAAGCTACACACTCTGTTTTGCAAACAAAGTGCATGTTTTTGTTTCTGCCTGGTGGACATCACACAGGTTATGCCTGTGTGGGAGCTTGAGGCCTTGGTTTCTCCCCTCACTTCCATGGCACTCTTTACTGAAGCATCTCACACAGAATATCCCTGTGCATTTTAACTTAGATCTAACTTAGGGCCCTGTGTATCATGAGCATCAAAAACTAGTAAACTGAAAGAAATGAGGAAGCCTTTGCTTTGAGTGCTGCTTAGAAATTGAAGTCATTCAAGCACTGTCATCTTATAGTAGTCACAATCTAATTTAAAAACCGTCTCAGAAATTGTCCCATTATCTCTGTTGTGAAATCATGGTTGCATATGACTGACATTAGCTGGCTGCCTGAGCATAACCATTCAGAATAGCTACACTTCACCTATTATGAGGAGACATAACTGACATTATAAATGTCTAAAACTTTCTGAGCATGTCATTGCAGAGCACAATGGCACAGTGCACTGGAGTTGTGTTCCACCTCTCTCTCCAGACCACACGGTCACCTACAACTTTTCATCCCGATCACCTGCCTCACCTACCCTGCTTAGCTTTCCTTAAACTCATATCTGACAGTGTCTTATCCCACTTACATTTCCTTTTCCCTGTGGGATGATGTTCTAAAGGCTTACCTGACATCTGTAATCCTGTACAGGCTAGCCGCCTGCTGCTTGTTCTGGCTTGCTGATGTTTCATGTACCGCCCCCCACACACACACACTCTGCCCCAGCTTGGGCCCACCAACCACACTCACTCCCCAGACCCCCACTGTTGTCCTGCCAGAACTGCTGCTGTGGGGTGGGTCATCTGAGGCCAGCTTCCTGTGATGCACCTCAGGCCAACTGGGCCCTCCTCTGGTCATAGCTGATGCTGACCACACCCTGGGGCACCGCCCTGGTAATGAAGTCATGAGGAGTTGAAAGGGGCTCGGTGCCCAAAAGACAAATATGTGATGACCAGCCCTCAGCAGGATGACCTGACAGACACACACCAGCCCTGTGCTCCTCCTCTGTTTTTCATTTGTTTGGTGCTCCTGGGGTTTGAACTCAAGCTTACTAGGCAAGCATGCCACCATTGAGCCAAGCCCCAGTGAGGATTAGAGTTTTTGTTTAACGTTCAACTTTAACTTCTTTCCATCATTACTGTTCTGTTTCCTCCTCCAGAGAGGTGCTTCTAGCACTTAGCACAGGACCTGAATGCTAATGTTGATTTTAATCATGATTTTTTTCTTTAGGGACATGAGTTTTATAATCCACAAAAGAAAAATTACATCTTCCTGCGTAACGCTGCTGAAGAGCTGAAGCCCAGGAATAAGAAGTAGTGGCCTGAGATTTCCGTTGTCCGAGGTTGTTTTCTCTCTACTCGGCCTGTCTGAACGAGTTTGGGGCCCAGCTTTAGTGGGCCGTCAGCATGGGTGTTTCCTCTACCCCTGGAGGAAAGTGTTTTTTGCTCAGCAGTAGCCAGTGTCCTGACCATTTGCTGTCCATTCCACTGCCTGCTCGGGTTTTCCAGGGCGGAGGGGACTGAAGTTACCATCGAAGTTGGATTCTTGTGGCCAGTGCCAGGTGTTGGGCAGTACTTCACCTAGCAGTGTATGCGCTTGAGACTATTGGAAAAGCACCCATGAGCCCTATACTGTGTTTTATAATAAAATATTTTGAAGATTGTCTGCTGGCTCCCTATGTTCTCTCTCCTTGCCTTGCCCCTCAGGAGATGGTCATCCTGCTCTGAGTTGTGGTTTCACACACCTTTGGGGACCTGCAGGGATCTTGCACCTTAGAAGATGTCCTGAGCTGTGACTGTGACAGTCTCTCCCATGTGTGTCTCTCCTTTGCTTCCTCCTTCCCAGCTCAGCACCCCAGTGCTTTCCACTTCTATGGCAGATCTATCACTCTGACATAGGGCTTTTGGGGCCACCTTGCAAGGCCTGTGTGGTGACACTTGTGTTGCATTCAATACTGGTTTGAATCCAGGTCCCCTGCCTGGGATTGCTCTGAATTTGTGCCCCAGTCCTGATCATTTTGAGTGTTGCTTTTTTACTTCCTATAATTGAAAGTGATTGATAAGTATCCAAAATGAAACAGTGTTTGACTGTGGGTTTATTGTAGTTTTACCGTGGTTTCAAATGCTTCGTATGCCTTATAGTTTGGGACTGGTGTGTAAATTCTCACTTGCTGAGCCTGAAGGTATTGTAAGGTATGTTTGCCTACTTAAAACAGCAACTTGCTGCTGGAAGAGACTCAGTGGTTTCAGTTCTTTGGTGGATCAGAAATGAATTCAGACCCATCGACTCTTGGCCTGTGTTTTTCAGTCTGAAATTTATTTTTTTAGAGATAAAAAGGCAGATGTGCTATAAAAAGGAATCTGGATTTTCAGGTTAACTGTTCACAGCTAATTTCCCTGTCTCTATGAGTCAGCTCTGTAGTTTTTTGCTCTGCATATGGGCAGATCTACTAAGTAGGAAGATTGCCTGTCTCCTCCAGCTTTCATTGAGGTGAGAGTAGGCTTGGCAGCTTGAATTTAGCCTGAGTTTCATTATTCTTTTCACAAGCTACTGACTGGCTGAGGTTGAAAATGACAAAATAAGGGGTCTTGGGCCTTTCAGAGTGTTTTCTTTCCATGGTTCATCTGTGCCAGATCAGCAAGGGAATGGTTTTGCTTAAGTCCAAGATTGGAGTTGGCCTACTAGGAACAGGAGGGAGGGAGCTCTGCTGCCCACCAGGGTATGAGTCCTGGGTGTCTCCACCACCCAGAACGTGAGTGTGGGAATGTGCTACAGAATGTCTTCAAGTATTCATTTCACATTTCCTCACAAGTACACCAAGTCTTCAAAGGACCTTGCCGTTCCTGCGGGCACCTGCGCTGTGTGTTGTGTGCAGTAAGTGCTGGGTAAGTATTGGTAAAGTAAAAAGAAACGGCGTAACCTTACTGTTAGTGTCAGGTCACGTTCTGCCATTAGCCACTTGCTGTCCACCCTGTTAAAAAGAGCCTCTCATTGAAAGGAGCTCATAGACCTCGGGCAGTTCCACCAGCATTCTATCATGAAATTTCCAAACAAATTGAAAAAATCTTAGTAAACTTAGGTTCTGTTGCAATTGGACTTGCACTTGATGTTTCTGTTGGGTTTTGCCAGGCTTTTCTCCCACTCCTGTGCTAACTGTGGGCATGGGGCTGGAGGTGAGAGCTACAAATACAGAGGTTGGTTGAGGTTGTAGACAGGAAGGTTCATGTCCCCAGGCCTGCGCTGTTTGGTCTGACCTATGTCCTTGAGGACAGACGCTTGAAGTAGCATGGAAATGTGGCTCTGTGTGACACCTGGCAAGTGTATGCCTGTTTCTGAAAATCCTTTCAGTTGGGGGTGAGTGGAACCCTGCCTGCCTCAACTGCTTTAGGACTCCTTTGTGCTGAGGAACCCTTGGTAGAGGGAGGTGAATGGAAGAAGAGCACTGGTGCCTGGCTTCCTGATGCTCTGTCCTGCGCTGGGAAGCACCAGTTCCCACCATGGCAGAGCACCAGTGTTTCACTGTGTTGACACCTAGTTACAGGCCCTAACCCAAGCACACTCACTCTTGCCTCATCACTGGTGTTCGTTTTCTTTAAATTCACCCTGCTGTGGTTGAATGTGTACCCCAAACAGTAAGTGTTAGAAACCTAGCCCCCCTCCCCACCCCCCGCCCAGGCAACAGTGTTGGGAGGTGGGATCTTCATGAGGTGCTGAGGTCAGAAGCTCCACCCTGGGACTGGATTGGTGCTGGTATCTCAGGAGTGGGCCCTTAGAACTGGAGTGGGTTCCTAGTATAAAAATGAACTGTCCTCATCCTGCTCCTGTCCCCTTGGCTCTGACCCACTTGCCTTCTGTCATGGAATAATAGCAAGAAAACTAGCAAGGTGTCAGTACCTCAGTGTTTCTTTCCTTCCCCACCTCCAGAAAGAAATTTCTTTACACATTGCCAGGTCCGGGGCACTCTGTTAGAGCAACACAAAATGTCACAAGACAATCTGCTTTTTAAAAATGTAAAATATTACCAGGCATCGGTGGCATACTGCTAGAATCCTAGCTACTCAGGAGGCAGAGATCAGGAGGATCGTGGTTCGAAGGCAACCTGGGCAAACAGCAAGACCCAATCTCGGAAAAAACCCTTCACAAAAAAGGGCTGGTGGAGTGGCTCAAGGTTTAGGCCCTGAGTTCAGCCCCAGTACTGCAAAAAAGTAAAATAGAAAAACTCTGTATGAGGAAAACTAGAATCTTTTGACCAAAGTAGAAGGTAACCATAAGACTCAATATGACAAGAACAAAGCAATAAAAAATGAGATGAAGTAACGATGGAAGTGAAAACGTCCATCTGTACTGTAAGAAATGAACTGATGCACGCTCAAAAACACAGCAACAGCAAAGTCAGCATTTTCCGAATTAAACAACCCCGTGGTAGGCTGTGACGTGAATGTGGTTATCACAAACAATGTCCTTTAAAATGGAGCTGCGAAGAGTACAGAATCCACCCAAGTGCATCACACAAGGCGGTGGCACGTGGTGGTGTGACTGCTGCCACTGCTTACATGCATAAATGTGTACGTATGTACATATATGTTCACATTTATGTATCATGGCTTCAGTCTTGCCATATCCATCCAGTCTTGGTTGGGATTTTCTTCTGTCCATGTCATTTTAGGGGGGTAGAACAGTCCTGGGGTTTGAACTCCAGGCTTCCTACTTGCTGGGCAGGTGCTCTACCACTTGAGCCACACCCCAGCCCTTTTTTGCTTCAGTTAGTTTTCAGATAGGGTCTTGCATTTTAGTCTGGAGCAGGCCTTGGACTGTGATCCTCCTGCCTATATCTCTTCCCTTGCTGGGATGACAGGTGCATAACACCACACCCAGCTTGTTGGTTGAGATGGGATCTCACTTTTTGCCCTGGTTAGTCTCCATCCTCCTGATGTCCACTTCCTGAGTAGATGGGATCACAGACGTGAGCCACTGTGCCTGGCTCCCTGCCGCTTTTTGTGTGGAATAGGATGAGTTCTGGAAGGCAGGAGGCCCAAGAGTTCCTTCCACAAGCACTAGTCCAGAACTGTTTCTTTGTATTCTCCCCGACATGGGCCGGGGAGCAGATTATATGACTATGGTTAGAAATATCTGGATAAGACCATATGCTCAGGTTTGGACTGTCTACTTTCATGTCCCAAATCTGTCACCAACTTTGCAGCCTTAAGCGTGTGATTTAAGACTGAGCCTCTGGCTTCGTCTGAAAGCAGCCGTCACAGAAGACTGCTGTTGGGTAGTCAGAGATGTAGCACAGCAGAAGCCTGCGTGGCCTACCCGTGATAAACGCTCAGTGGTCACTGCTGTCACATTAACTGCCAGGCGTGGCAGTGGCCACTGAAGGGCCCAGCTCTGGGTGTTCCTCTCCGCACTCCACCCTCCCACAGTGTAACACAGCTTACCTGTAAATAAAGGGTCTCAGTGGAAGGCTGTGTTTAAGTGTGGCCAGCAGATGGCGCCCATGACCCCAGTGCCAAGGTTGGAGACCCTGTTCTGGCCCAACTTCACACATCTGAGCTTAAATGAGGAGTGTGTATCTCCTCAGTTTGCTCTTGCACTAAGCTTTTCAGGTATTTGGAAAGTGGAACCGAAAGACTGGTTTTTTCCCGACAGGAGAATCTTCTCCTTTTTTGGCAGCACCGGAGTTTGAACTCAGGACCTTACTCCCCGCTAGGCAGGTGCTCTACCACCTAACCTATGTCCCCAGGCCTTTTTGTTTTTAGTTATTTTTCCAAATAGGGTCTCACGCTTACACCTGGGCCAGCTTATACTGTGATCCTCCCATTTATATTTCCTGTGTAGCTGGGATGACAGGAATGTGCCACAACTCCCAGTTTTTATCAGTTGTAATTAACTGGGCACTGGTGGCTCACACCTGTAATCCTAGCTACTCAGGAGGCAGAGATCAGAGGATTGTTGTTCGAAGTCAGCCTGGGCAAATAGTTCACAAGACCCTATCTCAAAAAAACTCGAGGTATAGGCTCCGAGTTCAAACCTCAGTATACCCACCCCCAAAAAAATGGGTCTCGCTAACTTTTTGCCATCCTCCTCGAACTGCCATCCTCCTGATCTTCACCTCCCAAGTAGCTGGAATTACAGGTATGAGCCACCACACCCAGCTAGAAGAGTATTCGTCAGAAAAATATACTTTGGGTAGCATGAACAAGGTCCTGGGTTTGATCCCACAATAAAATAAATATTTTTTAGAAAGATTAAAGGCCTCCTTAGAAAATGCTAACAGAGGCAGTTTGTTGGAGTCCAGGTTCCTGATTTTTCTTTAGCATTACCCCTGCCCCAGTTTGGGAAGGGAATATAAATCTATTCCAAGTCATGTTGGTGGCAATCAGTAACTTCAAAGGCACAGTGGCTGCTGCCACTGAGAGGCAATACAACCTAGCAGATGTGCAAAGCTAAGAAAAAGGTGGATGCAAACTCTCGTTCATGTCTACACTGATTCCAGTCTGGCACCAGTGGCTCAAGTCTATAATCCTAGCTACTCAGGAAGATTGCGGTTTGAAGCCAGCCCAGGCAAATAGTTCAAGAGCTCCTATCTTGAAAATACCCACCACAAAAGAAAAAAAAAAAGG